ATCAGACTAAAAAGTGTGAGGCACTTTTTATTACTGACACCGTTGTCTCATGTACACAAAGTCGCAGGATTTCTATGATATTAAGAGGTGTTTTATGCACACTTTATTTGTGTTTCATTCTACTGCACATCGTGTCATGCTATTCTGAGTGACCTTGATATAAGGGTTCAGCTATTGCATACTGTACACAGCATCAGCGATGAATTGAACAAATATTTGCTTTCATTATGATTCATCAGTCTTTGAACATAATGCTATCTAACATACTACAAGTACAAGAATATGATTGTTTTGTCTCAGCAAGTATTAAAAGCTGTGACTTCTCAAAAGAAACAAAGAAACTGTACAGTATATTCAATAACTACTCCAAAAGAAATGGCCGTAGTGGAAAGAAACAAAATTTCTCTTTTTTTATACCTTTTCAGACCTTCATTATGTGCGACATGAAAGCATAACAACAAAAAAATAATCTCTCATTCACTAAAATTTCTAGAAAAAAATTTGAACCAACTAAAATTGGTTCAAATTGGAAATGCGTTAAACTGAAATGTTTATATATATTATTAGAAACCAAACAACTTAGTGACCCTATAATATTTCATAGTAACAAAAAATATGTGTTATAGTTTGATCTGTGACAGGTTCTGCATAACATGTAGCCAATCATGTGTGAGTGTTTGCAGAGAGTGATAAATGGATGTACAGAAGAGGTTATGCAGAAAGCCCTTATATGGAGATGGGCTGGGCTTGTCTTATGCTAATTACTAACTATAGACACACACCCTCATTTAGGGTAATCCAAACTCATCAACATTAGAACAAGACTACGCACCTGTTGTGATTACATTTTTAGCATGTGAACCTTTTCTGAGTACAGAAATAAGAACACTTGTGCACAATTATTAGTGAATAAGATCCTTTGTTTTTAAATTGCACTAGAGAGCTTGAGAAAAAGAGACCATGTTTACAATCCTGATCCTGTCAGACTGTCCATATACCTGCTGGACAATGTGCTTGCGAGATTATTTTTACAAAAGTCTTACTGAAGAGGATCATTACGATGTGTTAAACAGGTGAGATAATGAGAAGCAGAGATGCATAAGAGATGGGAAGAGAGGACGAGATACAGATGGGAAGAACTGGAAAGAGTGTTTCCATGGCAAAGGCAGCTCTATGAAGAATTGCAAAAGCCTGGGCTTTAAAGCAGCTGACAAAAGGCCTGTCCCGAACGATTACATGATCTAAATTCTAATCAAACATCATTTACAGCTTGTTTTATTTGGGCCTCTTGAGAGACTGTCCCTCCTGCCTCTTTGCCATGGCAACCAGTGTCTCATTTCAGAAGTGTCATGGCACATTATCATCTGGCTAGCTCACACACTCCGCCTGACAACTTCGCCCACCCTCTCTCTTTCTTTCTTTCTGGCTACCTCCATTTTCTCTATTTTCCCCCTTTCTTTTATTAGCCCATGGTCAAGGTTTTACTACAGTATCTTAACATAATACATCATATCTCTTGGTTTCGCCCTGCATTTCTGGAAAAAAGCATCTAAACCAAAATCACTCCAGTCTTATTTTAAAGAGATTCTGAGATGAGATGTCATCATTTACTTGTATGTCATTACAAACCTGCAGAACAAAAAAAAATGTTTTGAAGAACGTTGGGAACCAAACAACATTGGAGCCCACTGACTTCCATTGACATTTCTCAAAATGTCTTCTGTATTTCTGGTGGGAAAAAGGCATACAAAAGTGTAAATCATCCGAGGCCTACTGGTTTTAAACAGGTAGTTCACCCAAAATTGAAAATTCTGTCCTCATTTACTCATTGTATGTCAGTCCATATCTGTGGAAATCTGGGAACCAGACAACATTGGAGCCCATTGACTTCCACTGAGATTTCCCAAAATATCTTCTTTTTCAGGTGTGTAACAAAATGAGGATAAGTAAATGATTCCAATTTTTTTCCACTTTAAGTACGTTAATAATGCCTTACAACACATATGACACTACACTGTATAAAAAAATACAATAAAATAAAAAGATGTTTGATTTTTTTTAAGTTCTAAATAAAACTAAGATTACTGGAGTACATTTTACAAGAAAATACTATTTTAGTTTTCCTAATTTCACGTTCAATTCAAGGTGATACATGTATTTGTTTGTGACATTTTCTAGTAATTTTTACATGAAAACTGTTTCTACAGCAATTTAATAAATAAAATATATCTTAATACTTTACTTGCATGTACATTTAAAAAAAAAAAAAAAACACTAT